GCTGATATGGTGCTGATCCAAAAAGGTTAGCATCGTGTTGATTCTTTCATATAACACCATTCAAACTTTCAGACACACCCACCAATTCAAAGTTCAAATAGAACAAAATATATTTGTATACGAACACAATATATATTCTATAGAGCACCGCACTGTAAAGCACCAGACGTACTTATGTGGAGTATCAATTTTTCATATTTTTCGTTAATTGTTTATTTTTACATGTTGATTTTTGAATATTAATTATTATATCAAAGCGTAATACAAATTAAGAAAAAATTGCAAAAGTACTTCATTAATGTCTTATAATACTAATAGGATGACATTTGTAAAAAAAAATAAAATTATATGAATATAAGAATATTTTTAATGTTAACTAACAGAAAAAAATATATATTATGTTATCGACTTAATGTATATATTGAATTTATTTAATAATATTAATGTAAAATTATTTTATCTAAAGAACATTAAATGAACAAACTCATCCCTCAGTATGGACTCATCATTTTTGCAGTAGGAATGGCAATGAGATATGCTGCTCTGTCTCTGTTCTTGAAATGAATGCTTTTAAGATTTAATTTTTTTTTTTTGGATTTAAGACAAGGCATGGGTTTAATGATAATAATAAAAAAAAGGGTACATATAGGCTTTAAATATTAATATGACCGTTAATTTGATCGAATTAACATATATTTTAAAATCAAAGAATATATATTTCTATAACATCATATACTATGTTATAATATATCATAATAGATAATATATATACTGTTTACACATATTATATATACTGATCTGATAAAATTAGCATTATACTGATGTGAACGGATTCGCACGAGAAGCATGCCCTATGAATATATTACTTCTCCAGTCTCAATACAATAGTCTTGTTTACTATTTTTGTTCGTCCCAAAACAATAGTCTCATTTCCATAAATAACCATATAACTATAAAACTATTATTATTTTTTCATTATTATTACACAATTGTCACTACTTTTTACATTAAGACACTTACTAGAGCAAAAAAATCTTTTACCCACTACCAATATAATATCAATATTTCTTAAATCCTGTGTCGAACACAACCCAAACTAATTTTGGGACGGAGGAAGTATTAATTTTATATATCTGTATGATTATACCACAAATTGTCTTATAAGTCCATATAGTTTCTAATTCTCCATGTCTATACAATTGATACATTATTTTATAAATCATTGTTTTATAAGTTGTAAAATGAAAGGCAAAGAGTTAGAGCATCTCTAACCCAGCGCTATTAACGGCGTTGAGTTGGCTTATTTGGATTCAACGCTAATTTTTAATGTTGCACAGTTTTGGCGTTGCTTTATTTATTTATTTTTTAATATTTAAAATTATAAATTTGATTTTTAAATTTAGATTTTATTTTTTAAATTTTTAAAAATTTTATTTTAAATTATAAAAGTAAAAAGTTGTTTAAAATAATAGAAAAAATTGAATATTTGAAGAATAATAGTGAAAAATGAAGTTATGGTTGGAGTAAAATTACTGTAGCAACGACATATTTGGAGTTAAAATTGGATAAATGAAGTTGATAGATTGGAGATGGCCTTACGTACTAACTTTTACTATACGAAACGAAAGGAAAAAGATTAAAATTATAAATTAATACATTTAGGGTATGTTTGGTTGGGGGATTGGATTTTCAATCCACTATTTATCCCATTTTTTTCATCTAAAAATATTAAATCAAACACTTGTTTTTTATTTTTTATATTATACTAAAAGTCAGTTTTATATTCAAAACATCAAATCAACACATATTTATATCACATCATACAATTATTCAAATTCAAAACTTTTACTATTTAAATCCCAACTCAAAATTCAAACCCCCAAACAAACACACCCTTATTTTTTATTATTGTTATATTTTTAAGATTTGTATTGAAGATCCATACCGTTATTTAAATATTGGTATTTAAAGTTAACATAGAGCTTGCAATTATTAAGGAAAAATGTTATTTCTTGTCTTTGGTAGATAAGATTGATCATATATTTTGTCTCATTTAAATTTTTTTTTTTTAATAAAGTTTTGTCTTATTGAAAATAAAACTAATCTTATTTCATACCAATATGATGTTAACTTCTCATTAGTAATGACATGGCAGTTGACGTAAACACAACACGGCCATGTTGGTTTCTAGTTTGACGGTCGACATGGACATAATGTCGACGGATGTTTGAAGAAATGCATACGTATTAGTTGAATTATATATTGATAAGATCTTTCGAGATATTCAAATATGAGACCTGTAATTAATTATATTTATATATATATATATTAAGAATTTAATTTACGCCATGTGTGTTCATTCATCAAATCATAATTTTAAGTTATATATTTCTTTTCAAAATTCCCAATAAATTCCAATTATAATTTATAATATTTGCATTATTGAAAAATTGCAATTATGGCTTGAAAAAGAAAATCATATACAATGATGATAATAAACTGAAAAAATCCAACTATTAACTGCATTTTCTAAATTATAATAAAAAAAGTTAATGAAAATTTTTATAGTTTCAATTTGTGGTGAAAATAATTTTAATAATAGATGTGTATTTTGTTGATATATATATTAATATTTATTATTATATATTTGTTACTTAACAATAATAATATTAGCAACTATTGTTTTTATAAGAAAATTGTGCTCATGATTATATATATCACTATAGATAAAATAACTAAAATAATTGGAATTTAAACATTATGTTATGCAACATGCTTAGGTTGAATGGAACATGTTCAAGTTGGATTAAAATAGCAATACATATATAGATACATAACGTTTGTTTACTTTATATTTTTGGATGAATGTATTTTTATAAGTATTAGAAATTATGTTAGTAATAAAAAAAATAAAATTTTATGTTGAATTGTTGATTTTTTAAAATAAATAATATATATTAAATATATCGTAGCAATGTGTGTATATTATATATATATATATATATTTGATAACATGGAAATCCGCAACTATTACTCATCAAGTGCACTATGAGTACCCCCGAGGGGGTGTTTGGTACATAGAAATAGAGACCGTGAAATGAAGAGAATTCAAGATTTAAGAAATAAATTATTTTATATTATCTAAAACTTCATTATTCTCCTGTATGCAGAGAAATTGAGAAAAATGAAATGAAAAGAGTCGTATTTATATATTTATTTATTTTATTTTTTTATATTTAACTTTTACGATTTAATTTTTGTTTATTTTTTATTTTATTTTTCTTACTATTATCTAATTTTTATAAATTTTCTATTATTCAAAATCTCATAAAAATATCATATCTAAATTATTACTAAAATAAATTATCAAACTAAAAATGTAACTAAAAATACAATAATATTTTTCTTACCTAATTTCTCATTTTATAATAATCGATGTATTTTTTTCAACAAGCACTATAGCATATTCTATTTATGCATTGTATATATATATATATTTTACGTTTTTCAATTGAATTCTTTATTTTAGCAAATTTTTTACTATCTGCAATTCCATTATCTACTATTATTTCTATACAATTCTATTCTCTCTACCAAACGCACTTTTTTTCAAATGGTCATCTAGACGATCGAGCAAGCTTAGCAGATTTACCATGATAGGACTTTCGCCCCTAGTAAATGTTTCTGTTAATTACCGTCGAAAAGGAATATTTGAATCCCTCACTTAACCTCTATTTTTTTCATAACCAACAACTATAAATATATACTCAGCTTTATTTTCATAACAAACTTTTACTCATTTGATACTCTTCATTTTTTTAGAAAAATATCACTATCAAATATATATATATATATTCTGACAAGATATTTAATCAAATACTATTTTTTTTTTTTAAATTTTCAAAATTTCAAAAATCTCTAAAAATTAATGTCTAAAGGAAGCCTATAACTCATAATAACTCAATAATACATATATACAAATATATATATATATATAATGCAACATCTGGAAGATATAAAGTAAAAAGAGCCTTACTTTTATGTTATTATTCAAATAATAAAGAAGATAGTCACACTCTAGAAGAATGGATTTTCTTTTTCTCTTGAAAAAAATAAAAATATATTGATTCGTATTGAATTATGAAGGAAGTGGAAAGGCTTTTAGATTAATTTAATAATCAAATTATTTATGCTATAGTTTGCCATATTATGTGATATATATTTTTAGTTTAGACATAATTTTTTGGAGTTGAGTTTTTTTTTTTTTTTTTTTTTTTGTTTTTAAAGAGTGAGAAATTATTAAAATTTAGTATTTCATGTGACTATTTTATGTTCTAAAAAATATATTTTTAGTTTAGACATAATTTGACTATTTTATGTTCTAAAAAATATAAACATTGCGCGCATGTATATATTATAACCAAATTGGTACTCTAGTTCAACAATTTTTTACTATGCTCAATATATTTTATTTTTTATAACGTGAAAATTCGACCACCACTCAATAATTACTTATATTTTATATGGCTTATCGTGTTATTCATATTTCTTTTATATATAATTCAATATCTCGAAAGTATCAACTTTATGCCCTATAATTCAACAACTCAATCCCACATTTCAATAATTGTTGATAATGGTTGTCGTTTTATTTAGCACAATATTTATTTTTCCCAGCTTTCAACTGCACATTAATTCAATCACATTCAATAATTTGCTACAATAATATATATACACACATATATATATGTATATATATATATATAGATCTTGTATCATATCCACGTGAATCCCATTGGGGTTTGGTGGGGATGGGGACCTAATTGTAAATGTGCATGATCTATGAATTTGATCCATCCTCCAGATCGATTACATTAGTTAATATATACATATACATATATATATATATATATACAAATAGCAAGTAGAACAATACGTATTTAGCAAATCTTTAAAGATATTATTGATTCACATATACGGCTGGCTATAAATAGAAGGGGTAATTCACACTCTTTCATTCACAACCAAACCCTAATAAATAATTCTTACAACCTACATTTTAATTTCTCCTCATAATGTCGGGAAATATCGAGGTTCCTATCACGCCGGTCGAGCCGAATTTCAGTAACATCAGTCGCAATGACTTTCCTCCCGACTTCCTCTTCGGGACCTCGACTGCAGCTTACCAGGCATGGCTATGGCGATCCCATTTCTCAATTGTTCTTCAGAGGAGTTTTAGGGTTTCGATGTTAATTATTATTATTATTTTTTAGGTTGAAGGGGGTGCGAGTGAAGGGGGGAGAGGCCCCAGCATGTGGGATGTCTTCGCCTTGGGGAGCCCTGGTTCACCTCTCTCTCTCTCTCTCTACATTTGTCTCTCTCTCTCTATTCATGTGTATGTATATGCTGATGATTTGTAATTGTGAGGGTTTCAGCTAAAATTCTTGATGGAACCAATGGCAATGTTTCTGTCGACATGTATCACAGATATGAGGTTCTGATCTTGCTCTCTCTCTCTCTCTCTATATATATATATATATGTATGTATATGTCTGACTTGCTTTAATATAATGTACAGGAGGACTTTAGAACAATGAAAGCAATGGGTTTGGATGCCTACAGATTTTCGATTTCATGGTCCAGAGTGTTGCCTCGTACGTAAATTTTAGTTAATGAGCTACATTTGTTGGACCAATCACAATCTTGGTTTAATTTTAGTCGAAGCTCATGTCTTTGTCATTTGATTAGAGGGAAGAATTAGCCTTGGAGTTAACCAAGAAGGAGTTGACTACTACAATAGAGTGATAGACTCCCTCATCGAAAAAGGTGTCCACACTAAAATATCTCTCTCTCTCTCTCTCTCTCTCAAAATATGAGTTAACCAAGAAGAATTTACTCGAAATATAACTACTGTAGATTTTCATTTCATAAGAAAAATTGTGGGTTCCAATTTATAAAAAAATATATATATACTTTATTCTCATCTTTTATCGAATTTATATATATATATATATATTTAATGTTCATAAAAAAAATATACACTTTTCATTTATACTAAATAATTCTTACAAATTCTTTAATTTCTATTATTCAACAATACACTTATTTGCAAATATACCACAAATAGGTAGTAGGTATACATTCAATTTATCAAAAACTTTCTTTCACTTCATTGACCTACTTTTATACTTTCGAAAAATACCTGTTTCAATTAACTAATATAATATTATATTTATTAAAATTCATATTATGTTCAGATAAATATAAATTTCGTGACTTTGCATTCATGTCCGACAAATATGTATAGGTATCACACCAAATGTTACTTTGTTTCACTGGGATCTTCCTCAGTTTTTGCAACAAGAGTATGGTGGCTTTTTGAGTGAAGAATTTGTGTAAGTTGTCCAACATAAAAACTTGTTTTCTTCATTACATTGTCATATATATAACAAATCGATTATAACCCTTTGTCCAATTTCAGGAAGGATTATGCAGACTATGTCGAATTTTGCTTTTGGAGATTTGGAGATAGGGTTAAGATGTGGGCTACTTTCAATGAACCATATATATTTTCCACCATGGGATATGTTTCTGGAAGTTATGCACCTAGTCGTCCTCAACCTATTTTCCCATATGACACTGAAGAAGACATTCTAAGCCATTCTAATTACAAACAAGAAGTCTACACTGTCGGAAGAAACTTGCTCCTAGGTCATGCCAAAGCTGTTGAAATTTACAGAACCAAATTTCAAGTAAACATTTTTTTTTTTTTTCAATCAACATAAACATAGTGATTTAATTTAATTTTTGTTTTTTTAAAGAAAAGATGTAAAAAGGACTTTTAACTATAACAGGAATTCCAGAAAGGTCAGATAGGAATTGTTCTTAGCAGCAACTGGAATGAGGCTTACTCTGATAAACCAGAAGATGTTGCAGCTAACCAAAGAGCAACTGACTTCCAAATTGGATGGTAATTAAATTTTAATTTCTCTAATTATAATTTTATATATATATATATATATATATATATGTATTTGTAAATTTTATATTATTGAATTAAATTGGTGTAGGTTTTTGGAGCCTGTGTTGGGGGGTCAGTACCCAGCATCGATGTTAGAACTTGTTTCTCCTGAGAATTTGAAGCCATTTACTGAAGAAGAATCGAAGATGCTTAAAGGGTCCATTGACTTTTTGGGATTAAACTATTACACATCCTACTATGTTGCTGACAATCCACACCCTGTCAACACAACTCCCTTCGATTTCGATCAGAAAATCGCAACTCTAAGTAATTAAGGATCCCAATTGATTATTGCCAACCCTATTATTTAATTACACTTTAGATGTGGAAAATTGACATAACTGTTTGTGTTTTTGATGCACTTTTCTCAGCTCAAAGAGATGGATGGAAGCCAATAGGTCCATTGGTAAGTCAACCCAATGCAGAAAAAATAAAAAAATATAAAATAAAAGAGGGCCTTTATTTAATGTTTTATATATAATTAATATAAAATCTATTTTTTAATTATTTACTTTATGATTTTATTTTTTTAATTTGTTCGGTTCTGTCTTCAAGAAAAATATATTACTTTTTTAATAAATATCATATTTAACATATTTAAATCAAAATTTAAACAATTAAATAAATTTTAGTTTATAGCATTTTTTAAGATTATACATATATTTATAAATCTTATTTTATATATTATATATTTTAAAACTATAAAATATGATTAGAATTTTAAGAAACTTACAAACATTCAAATTTTCAGTTTGCTTTTCTCATTTAAACCTTTTTAGATATGGAAAAAAAAACTATAAGCTTAAGAATAATTATATTTAGATAATTAGATTGAATATTAATAATTTCTTTTTATTAAATTAATAGGAACGAGTAATTATCTAAAACATAAAAATTTATACTTCCTTAATCGCAACTCAAAGTACCAATTTCTTTTTACCAATGATCTGTTGGGGAATTAAAGGATTAATTTGAAATTTGCAACTACTTCGATATATATCGATTTTATTATAACATATATATATATATGGCTTGATGCTTCAGGCTCCAGGTTCAGTTTGGCTCTACATAGTCCCATGGGGAATCCGCAGCCTGTTGAAATACATGAAGACTAAATACGAAAACGATACATACAACCTCCCAGTTATATACATCACTGAAAATGGTAACCAAATTCTACCTCTAATAACACCATATCCACAAACAAATATATATATATATATATATATAAATTCAATGGTATTTTCATATTTCGACATTTTTATAGGAGTGACTCAAGCGAATGACTTCAAGCTCACCGCCGAGGAGGCGTGCAAGGATCCATGGCGCGTGAATTATTACCGCGACCATATTGGAAATGTGCTCCTAGCACTCAGGGAGTAAGTTATCACTACAAATATTCATTTTTTATTACTCCATCCGTCATGTAAAATTATGCCCATTTGATCCAGCATGAGCTTAAGAAAAGTAAGTAAAAATAGAAACTTTTTTCTAAAAAAAACAAAAAACTAATACTACCTCTAAGCATCTCATTTATTTTTAATTATTAATTATTATATCTATATATAGTACAAATTAAGAAAAAAATGACTTATAATACTATTATAACGATATTTATGCAAAAAATTATACAAATATATAGATATTTTTAATAATTAAGTACAATAGCAAAAGGTAAATGGAACCCTTAGGACCGGACGGAGAGAGTACTTTTTACAAAAAAAAAATAAAAAGAAAGTAAAAATAAGTTTGAATGACAGAGAGAGTATCAAATAATTAATATCGACCTTAAGATTGTTGTTTAATTTAATTTGGCAATGATTGTATTCATGTAGGGATAAAGTTAATGTAAAGGGATATTTCGTATGGTCTTACTGCGACAACTACGAATGGAGTAGTGGATACACTATTAGAATGGGCATGATTTACGTCGACTATATGAACAATTTGAACCGTCACCCGAAACAATCAGCCCAGTGGTACGCCAAATTCCTGACCAAGAAAGAAGACAATGAAACAGCGACCGCGACATAACTTGCACTGCTATTTATGGGAGTGTAAGCTTTGGAATAGTTATCGCATTATCAGTACGTGTGTTTTTTTCGATTCTCTTGGATTGCGGAACCTTGTTTAAGTATCTTTGCATTTCTTTATGAGCTTCTAAGCTGTGTAATGAATAAGATTGTGAGTTATGTAATAAATAAGGAAGAATCACTTTCGTGTGAAGATCATTACTATTATTGCATTCCTTTAAATTTCCATTTTCTTTTATGTATGTAAAGTCCATAGCTAAAAATTGATCAAGGTGGATCATATGCTGAAACTATTAATTCAACAAAGCTGAATTTTAATCATAACTCTTGATTTAAAAATTATTAATATAAGATTAATAGTTTATATATATTTCAACATATGCTGACTTGTAATACAAGTCAACATAGTATATGATTCATATATATATGACAAGTATCCAATAATGTGCTTGAGTGGGAGAAACTAGAATGTCCTTGTTCGTAGGTTTTTGATAAAATTTTCATTGTTCATAATTTTTTTTTTTTTTTTTCTCAAAAGAAGATTAAATAAAATACTTATTATTTTTATTTTTTTATATGAAATTAAAATTTAATTTTATATCTAAAATATCAAATGAATATCATTTTATATCATATCAAATAATCATTTCAATTGAAAATTTCAAACACACTTCAGAACCTACAATCAACAAAATCTTAATTCTCATATAAGTGTCTTGCTCAAAAGACAAACATGCTCAAAACCAAACAAATCTTAATTATCTTATAAATGTTTTGCTCATAAGACAAACATCTGAATCAAAATCATAGTATATGTTATGAATATCTTATGTTCGAATGAATGTATTTTTCTAGTCTCTTCAGCGTACCACTGTCGGGTCTCAGCCAATAATTTGAACAACTTAGGGGTAAGGCACAAATACAATACACTTCTGAAATGCCTCGAGATCTCTCGAGGCTAGAATATGTTGCATATAGTTCAAGGTTACTCATGGAAGCATTTGTGATGTACAAAATCATAGGAATAAGAAAACATCCATCGTTCAAAATACTTTTTCACATACAATTATTTTAATTTTAATTAATTTTTTTATTTCAACATGATCTTTAACTTCCAACACTATCAAACAAACACTATCTACCCTTTTTTCTTGATTTATTATACTTATAGCGAGAATTAAACAACAATGTAAATAGTAGGGAGTTGGGGCCAAATTTAGCTCTTTTTGTTCATGAATAAAGTTGATTTTTGTTGACGAATGCTCAATATTAGGTGTTTTTTATTTGGAATTCAAAGCAAAATTAACACAATTCAATGTGCATATTTTTCAAAAATACTGATATTGTTATGAATTTGTTTCCGAATCTTTTGGATTTATCGAACAAATCTCATATACAAAATACGAATATGAATTAGCGGAAACGAATTATCGAATAAACCCAAATTATTATACTACCGAATCGAAACGAAACTAGAATTAATAAAAAGGCAATATTAAATTTCTGGAATTTAGAAATTAAACACAAACAAAACAGAACAGGCCCTAGGTGATTCTAGTGCGATTTCTCCTTGCGATTCCGGTGAATCTGTCCGGCGAGTTGGGAGGCCCTTCTTCTCTGTCGATGCGCGACTCGAACCTTGATGGTTCTACGGTTTGGTTTTGCTCGTTTATGCCTTCTTAGTTGTTCGCCGTATAATTTGCCTGCGATGTTGTTTAGGCTTAATTTCGCCAATGTTTCTTTAGATTAGAGTTCGGGTTTGTGAGTTAGTTGCGATTCCATGGCATGTCATTTGTGTCGGGGTCATGGATGTGTTTTCGATGTCGCTTTGTTCGATTTGAGGGTAAACTGAGTTTGAATAAATTCTGCTCCGTAGTAATAAAAATTGCTTTAAATTTTGTTCGATATCGATTTGATTTTGTAAGAATATAGCTTATTCGATCTTGGATTAGAACATAACAGTTTTTTTTTTTTTTACAAAATATTACATCAAAATATTATATATAAAATCAAAACCTAAGTCAATTTCAATCACAAAGTAAAACGAAACCAACCCATTGTTGTTAAAATAAATAAAATAATATTTCGATAACATTTGACTTTCTAACCTCTCGGAGAAATTGAAAAATTTTGAGATGTGTTTGTTTACGTTTATTATTACCATTTTCAATGACCGAGGGCCAAAAAAAAAAAAAAAATTGGATTCGGACAATTTCCATATAGTTTCATTTAAAGTACTAAAGTAATAATAGTCCAAAAAAACAAACAATTTGGTCTTGAAGACCACTGGTTCATCTCTCCCCACCTCCCTCTCTCTCCATTTTTCTGTATTCGTCTGTATGCATATGCTGATTATTTCTATCGAGGGTTAAAGATAAAGTTACTGGTGGATCCAATGGCAATGTTGCTGACACGTATCACAGATATGAGGTTCTGATGTTTCTCTCTCTCTCTCTCTCTATATATATATATATATGGTGGCGGCTTCAAATTCAGTACTCCGTTTAGCAGTACACATATAGCTAGCAAATAACACACGCTAATGTTAGTAACAACATATCATTTATATTAATATAATATAAGCACAACACATGAACTAACGACACACGTATAGCTAGCAAACAAGACACAGTAATATTACTGACAACACATCATTTATATTCATATAATATAAACACAACATATGAATTAACAACACATCATATAGTTTCATACAACACATGCAGCAGTTCATTTCAGCACATGATATACACGTATACAGCTAGCACACGTGTAATTATAAACAAACAATACATGTCATTATTACAAACTGCACGTGCTGTTTTTAATAAAAACTTGTACTGCTTGTGTATTTTGCGGGTGGTGATTTGAAAGCAAATCACGATACTGATTTTTCCAAATCGGCACCGTAAACTCGTGTGTTACTTTTAGTAAATGAGCTTCAGTTGTCAATCATAATCTTCCTTTTACTCTAAGCTTAAGTGTTTGTTGTTTGATGTTTATTTGTTAATTCAAGGGAAGAATCCTTGGAGTTAACCAGGAAGGAGTGATTTCTACAATAGAATGAAAGATTCCCTCCTCGACAATGTTGTCCAAACCAATGACGCAAATCTCTCTCTGTCTCTGTCTCTCTCTATATTATTATTCCTGAGCTAACTTTGCATCCATGTCCAATAAATTTATGTGCTTGATATCAAACCACTGATATCAAAAAACTTAATTAATTAATATATATGGCTTGATGCTTCAGGCTCCAGGTTCAATTTGGCTCTACAAAATCCCATGGGGAATCCGCAGCCTGTTGAAATACATGAAGACTAAATACGAAAACGATTCATACAACCTCCCAGTTATATACATCACTGAAAATGGTAACCAAATATATATATACATATATATCTATATAAATTCAATGGTATTTTCATATTTCGACATTTTTATAGGAGTGACTCAAGCGAATGACTTCAAGCTCACCGCCGAGGAGGCGTGCAAGGATCCATGGCGCGTGAATTATTGCCGCGACCATATTGGATATGTGCTCCTAGCAATCAATGAGTAAGTTATCACTACAAATATTCATTCTTTTTACTCCATCCGTCATGTAAAATTATGCCCATTTGATCGAGCACAAATTTTAATAAAAGTCGGTAAAAATAAAAAAAATTTCCTGAAAAATCAGAAGAATAATAATCCGTCCATCCGCCTCTAAGGTCACATTTACCTTTTGCGTCATTGTACTTAACATTAAAAATATCTTTATATTTGTATAATTTTTTGCACAAATGTCATTATAATAGTATTATAAGACATTAATAGAAGTATTTTTGTTCTTTTCTCTTAATTTGTACTACGTTTTTATATAATAATTAATATTCACAGATTAACACGCAAAAATTGAATGATACCCTTAAAGCCGGACGGAAATAGTACTTTTTACTAAAAAAAAAAATGAGAATAAATTTAGATGAAACCAAAAAAAAATGAAAATAAATATGGATGAGAGAGAGTATTAAATAATTAACGTCGACCCGAAGATTGGGGTTTAATTTAATTTGGCAATGGTTGCATTCATGTATAGGGATAAAGTTAATGTAAAGGGATATTTCGTATGGTCTTACTGCGACAACTACGAATGGAGTAGTGGATACACTATTAGAATGGGCATGATTTACGTCGACTATATGAACAATTTGAACCGTCACCCGTAACAATCAGCCCAGTGGTTCGCCACATTCCTGACCAAGAAAGAAGACAATGAAACAGCTACCGCGACATAACTTGCACTGCTATGTATGGGAGTGTAAGCTTTGGAATAATTATCGCATTATGGGTACGTGTGTTTTTTTCGATTCTCTTGCATCGCGGAACCTTGTTTAAGTATCTTTGCATCTCCTTATGAGCTTCTAATCTGTGTAATGAATAAGATTGTGAGTTATGTAGTAAATAAGGAATAATCACTATCGTGAAGATCATTACTATTGTTACCTTGCTTTAAGTTTCCGTTTTCTTATATGGTAAAATCCATAGCTAAATATTGATCAAGATAGATCATATTCTGAAACTATTAATTCAGCAAAGCTCAATTTTAATCATAACCCTTAATTTTCGTAACTCCTGATTTAAAAATTATTAATAAAAGTCAACATATGATCCAAAATTCAAAATTTATAGTATATAATTCATCAACATATGATTAAATTTTTACTGTTTATATTTTTTTTTCATAAAAAAAACATTAAATAAAATATTTATTATTGTTGTGTTCATTATCGTTGAACATGGCCGTGTTCATACTCACGTTCATGGTATGTTTTAAACACGGCTACATTCCTATTCATGTTCGGAATATAACCATATTTTTGTTTATATTTAAAATAAATTTGATTTATAATATTAAAAATATCAAATACTCTTTCTATCTTACTCCTATAGTTAGAGACATGGTATTTTTTTAACATAATTTAATATATTAATCTATAGTAGTTATAATATTCTTTTATATGTTTTTTGATCGGAATATAATATTCTTTTATTATTATTTTTTTATATAAGTGGTGTTGTGTTTAAATATTTTAAATATTATATCTCAATATAATATATATAATATGAATAATTTTGTAGAGAATAAATTTTAATATAATGTAATTAAATAACTAAAAAATATATTTATTTATCTATAATTAATATAGATAT